TTAAGAGATTTTCTTAAGAGGACTTTTCTTTAAAAATTAATAGATTAAGATTCTCTCAATCAATCTATTTTTTATGAGGGTATTTTCAAAACCCTTGAGCTTCAGGGATTTAAATATATGAGCTTGTTAGTCATCCTTTCCTTACTTAGCCTAAATAAGATTTACATATTTACCAGATTAAGTGATTACATGAATAAATACATTTCTCCCCATAAATGTACATTTTTGTAACCCAGGCTTCTGAGCATACAAATCTTAATTTATCATGATTTAAATAACTCATAAGGATTATAAACTTATATTTTTGATATTTTGTAAAGTCAAAATTATCTTTCAGAAAATCCAAATTTTTGTATGGAAATAATACTTTTTATCAATTTAATAGGAATAAAAGTAAATATTTATTATGAGATTTAAATTAAGAGGTTACAAACGAAGATACTCACAACCACTTTCATGGCAGGAAGGACTACCTGAAGTGATTGCTATGGCGATAAGGGAGAGCTTCTGTTATTCTAATGGTTAATAGTCTGAGGCTACTAATGTACTCGAGATGATGGAAAGTCATGGGCATCATAACTGAGTGCGTTATTTCCAAATTTAGGTTAGGTCATGTATAATTTCCTTATTAGAGGTATTTAGATTAGGGCTTCATCTCCATCTAGAAATCTTGTCCATTTTCCTACCCTTTAGATTAGAATATCTAGTAAATCAAGTCCTCTTAATCAAATTAAACTCAACTCAATTGATCTAATTTAACCCTTTAAGTCAAATCCAACACCAAACTCAATTTAAACCTAAATCTTAATCTGATCCAAACTTTATTAATTCAAATTCCAAGTTAATCTCATCAATCAAATTCCAACCCAATAAAATTCAATTTCAATTCAAACCCAACTTCAAATTTATTCATACTTAATTCCAAATCTTATCCACTCAAGATCCAATCAAATCTAAATAATTTCTCAAACCTGATCCATTGATTCAAACTCCACATCATCACTTCAACCGTCAACTATTGGGCCCATCCCTAAGGGTAAAACATTTTGAAATTCAAGTGAAGTCAACCTATCCAATCTTTTCCATTTAATCAAATTCTTTAAATCTCGTCAATCCATAATCTTTTCATTAATGAATAGGAAATATATAAGGCATAGCTTTAATCGCGAGGTATCTCAAGGGGTAGTTCTTGAGATGTGATTAACTATGAGGGAGCCCCTTCATAGGGATACCCAAACTTTGAAATAAAATAAACATTATCTTACACATGTAAAGTAAGGGAAAAATCCTAGTTTTGCAGTTCCATAAATCCTACAAAATTTTCTCATCTGAATGATTGGATCTACACTAAGATAATATTTCTATCTTTCAAGATAGTATATTATTCTTCATATGTCGTTTCAGATCATTTTGATAAAAGACTTTTGAGATTTATAGTGGATCCCATCAATAAAAAAAATTCTCACCAACCTATTTTTTGAAGAATTTGAAATATAATAAATTTGAATAATTTTAAAGCCCTAGACCCCACTTTCCCTCTTACACCACCACCTACAACCATCGATTCCCTAAATCCCCTGCCCTTTGCTATAATCTTATAGTGCCACCCACTTGATGTTGCAACTTGTCTAATGAGTGTCCGCTACCACTGCTCCAACTCACTAGGTTATGCCTACGCTTGTTGCGACCTACCATTGTTGTGAGCTATAACCAACAATAGTCATCACTATCACCACCACTTCTATATCATCCCCCTTATCCCTATCATCGCCTAGTGTCACCCTCAGTTATGACCAATTCACCATTTACATTATTTCAATGAATTTAAAATATACTATAAAAAATAAAAAAAATCAAAGCATTTAAATTGTAACTTGCCAAAAAACTCTTATTTAAAAAAAACATGCACTGCAATTATTCAATATTTTAAAATATAGGTAATTTAAAGGAAATCAAATACAACAACAACAAGCTGTTTTATCCCACTCAGTGGGGTTGGCTACTTGAATCTTTTTTCTCCATTTCATCTTATTGGGTGTCATATTTTTATTTAATTCTAATATATTAAGATCAATTTTTATACAATATACTCAAGACTTTTTAGGTTTACCTTCACATTTTTTAAGATAAGTCAAGTCTAAAAAATCTACTCTCCTAACCGGATGATGACCGACATTTCAAGTGACCAAACCATCTAAGATGACCCTCTCTTATCATGTCCGTCGCTAGAGCTACAGTGAACTTAACATATATATATATATATATATATATATACATTTCACATTTTGTCTTAAAGAAAATCGAATAAGAAATAAAAAAATAATAAGGTGTTTGAGATCACTTCAATTTTTGTTTTTTTAGAACGCGTTGGGGCAGCCTATCAGCTGCGACAACGTTTTGAAAACGCCACCCCACTATTTGAAAAAGCGTTTGAAAAGCTTATTTGAGAACTAAATTTCGTTGTTTAATTAAATGCAGGTCGCGTTGCCCCGCGGTCCCGCATTTTATTCTGCATTTGATGTTATTGCCCTCTTCTTGTATCTCCTGCCTTCCTTCGGCTCCACCCAAAAACCCTCACCTACTTCCCCTTCCTCCCGGCTTCGCCCAAAAACCCTTGCCATTTTCATCGAAACCCTAGCAATACAATCGCAATTAGAGCTAGCTGGGAAGACAACTACGCCATCGCGGTGTACAAAGCCCTTAGTAACTCCCATCTTTCACTCGCTTCCTCTTTGCTCCTAACCGAAATCATTGAGAAAGGTAACCCTCTTCTTTCACCCCCTTTCTCCCCTCCCTTCTTCTTCTTCTTCATCCTCTGACGAGCTTCCATTGTGTTATCCAACGAATAGCGCTGCTATGAGTCAGAGCCCGAGCAGAGGAAGGACGAAGAGAGCACTTAATTTTATAACTTATTTATTAATTAATATTAACTGTTTGATAGCATTTATTTATTTAATTTATTCTTATAGAATTTATTTTAAATTAACTTAATAAATACTAACAAATGCTTAATTGATAAATGATCATATGTTAATTCATATGTTAATTATAAATTGATTTTATCAAACTATAATTGAATAAGCTAAAAAGAAATTAAATTAAAATTAACGCTAAATTTTATATAAAAAAATAAATTAAAATGTATGCACATGAACATAATGGTCATTTATCCAGAAACAATTGTAAATCAATTTTTTTCTAAATACACAAACTAAACAACCAACCTACTAATCTAGATCAACAACTGATCAACAACTTATCAGGATAAACTGCTTATCTGGATAAACTGAATAAACTGTTTGTCTGGATAAGCTGAATAAGCTATAAATGCCCCAAACAGACCCTTAGTTTAAGCTTTAAATTTAGATAAAATATATTTGTATCTTCAAACTATATTTTTATTTCTATTACGTATTGAATAAATTAATTTATGATGAAAATTAATATGATCATGATGGAAGTCACATTAGTATTAGTTGACAATTAAAGATGACGAGCGACAGTGCATAGTAACATCAGTAGCTCAGAAGTAATAATTAGAAATATTTGAAATATTTAATTTATTTATGTATGTTTAAAATAAAATTGAATTATTTAAAAGAAAAAATGTAATCTCTTAAATAAATATTTTTGAAAATACAATTACAAAGATGACATTTGCGATATTTTATATTTAAATTTTCATTTTTATATTTATAGCACTCAAATATCTAATATCTCATAAAAAATATTAATTTTATTAATTATTTTAAAATGAAATATATTCTTTTGCATATATTTATGACACCAAAGTAGCATAAATATACATATGAGAGCTTAAATATTATATATGTATATATATTTATTTATATGCATATACACTAGACTTGGGCATTGGGCGGGCCAGGCTTGGTGTGAGTCGGGCTTATTCGGGCTTTGATAAGTCAAAATGGGCTTGGGTGAGGCTTGAACCCAGCAGCTATTTATAATTCTATAGCCAGACCCGCCCACTAAATGCGCCAGGGCCGACCCGCGGACCTTAAAAGAAAAATAAATTTTCATATATTACATACTGTCATTTTGATACTTAAGTGACAATTTGAAAAAGAGATGGAACTAGGTGCTAATTTATATATGACAATTTTTTTGAATGCATTAGTGCCAATAGCTAGTTAGCATGCTTTTTTAACCAAAAAATGTTTTGTTATATTACTAATAGGTTAAACCTATTATATGTATATTTTTCTTTTATTTAGGGACTGTTTGAGGCAGCTTGTGTGTTTCAGGATAAGCAATTTATCCTAAATCGCGACCTACTGTTTGACCGTGAGGGTCGACCTGCGGCCTGCGTTTAGTATAAAAAAACTCAAACGCGACAGACAGCATTTTCAAAAACGAGCAAATCAAATAATTAGACGGCGTTTAAAAAAAAAAAAAACACTGCCACACCTATAAGATGGCTCAAACGGGCCCTTAGTCTTCTTATTTTTATCAATAAAAATCATTAAATTTATTGGATCCTTGTGAGCTTGGAGTTATAAATGCAGTGGAACTATGCACTACTGTAGGTGTCAAGATGATCAGTCATATATTATGATGTGACTTGATTATTAGAGTTTTGACTTTCTTTATAGCAGTAGAGGAAATATTCTTCTGATATATTGTTTGCTGGCTGCATTGATTTATTATTGTTTTACTTAAAAAAAAAAATGTTAAGGATAAAGTTAATTATTGCTTGACAAATGTCCCAAAAACATGAAGAAAAATAAATATAAATATGAAGAAACGTAATAATAAAGTTAGTCACACTGAATTTCTTAAATATATATATTTTTAAATTCACTCGAAATATCGAAAATTAATTAAAAAAAGAATTAATTGCATCAAATGCAAGCCTAGCCGTTAGGCAGGCCGGGCTTGAAACGAATTGGGCCTATTCTTTAACTAAGATAAAACGGGCTCGGCCCGGCAAATTGGACAGATAGAGTTTACTTGCAGAAGTTTCCTAGGGATGTCATCGAGTGTTTATGGCTAAATGGAGGGGAGGGCTGAGGGGGTATCCGATAAGGCAAAGAGGGGGAAAGGAAGAAGACCATCTCCCTGTGAATTGAACAAGAAAATTCAACAATGAACGCAATGCAAACATTTTCGGCGCCGCCGAGAAGGTGGAGTGCTCAAATCCCTCGTTTTCTCTACATTTTGACGTAAATTTCCTCTAATGCGAACTGAGCATGGTCTTTGATTGCCTTTCTTGCAGCTGGCTCTCTACAAGTTGTAGTCCTACATGTTCATTCCTCCATTTAGGTTTCGCTAGGGATGCTATAGTTCGAAATAGTGCTCCATCCCGCCGAAAGAAAAGTTTGATATTTCCTAGGGCAAGCTCTTCTTCTGGTACGCTTCACTTTTGAGGTTTCTCTGCAGTTATGTATTTATTTTTTCGTTCTCAGTTCTTGCATTGTGGTAATACTGTTAGAGTCGTTAATTGGCTGGTGCATGAGTAAATTAGAAGGCTTGATGCTTGTTTTTGGGGGGTTGTGTGTTGGATGGTGTGCTGATTCTTGCCTAAGAAGCTTGAATTTTGTTGCTGTTAGCTTATAGGTGCAATATCTGGAAAGAGTATATTTTTTTGAAGATTTATGCTGATACCTTACTGCATTTATTCTCTTGTGTATTTTCTTTCTATTGTATTTATCATGTATGCGTAGAAATATTCACTATTTTCAAGTGAATAAATTGTCCATTTTCTTCTCTTAATATGGTGTTAGAACTTGGAGTTATTGATACTCTAATCTCACACATATGTCACATCCTACAATGTAAGCCACCCCTTGTTACGGCCGCTATGCTTGCTTGATCTGTTCCTCCAATAGCAGCTCTTTTACTATTTGCTCTCACTGTCTGTTGCACTTGTATGGTTCCTCTATGTGATGCTTTTGCCCGTACACTATGCATGCCTACTCCCATAACACACTGTGCCTGCTCCCACATGCTCGCTGCATGCCAGTGGCTAGCTTTGACAACACTGATATCTCTTTTTGCGTGTCCTGGATGATCTCACCAGTCTTGCTTTCAGAGTGCTCACTAGATGCTTTTATGTTAGACTTAATTTTTACGATATGATTTAGGTACTCCTTTGACTCTTTGTACATCTCACCTTAGTGTCATAGCATTTTTCTTTCTTCTTATCGAAGTGATACCCTCTTTCACTTGCACTGCCATCAAATTAAATGGTATCAACTATCCCTTATGTTGGGTTTTTTTTTTCGCATTGAATCTCAACACAAATTCAATCATTTTGTATACCGCTTCAGTAGATAGCAATGACACCCTAAAGCCCCTCAAAGTAAGAAGATTTCATTTATGTTTTTTTTTACTGGGCTCATCAATAAGGTTGATCCATTCACTACTTATAGTATCGTTTCAATACACTGCCAAGAAGATATGAGACTTTTTCTGTTACACTTGTTTTTATGGAAGTAATATCTCTCAGATCTACACTATGTATTTTAATATATTTTTACTTATAACAAAGCAAATTGCTAATTCAACTTTACAATAGCACCTAGAGAGTACAATGATATAAATTGCTTCAATATCACCCCATCACTATTGATCTTGTTCATTAGTAAAAACATAATTAGGAATTTTTTGCTGCAAGTTCCTCTTTGACTTCATTCCTGTCTTTATTGTTTATAATATCAATCAATGGTTCACTTTATCATATAAAGCCTTGATACACTTTAACTTAGTTTATTTGCATCACCAAACTATCAAATCCTTCACCTTTGACCCATGATTACTTTGTCATGATGTTAGTTCACAGAGCAAGTGAATGTGGCCATAGAAATATCTTTTCCCCATTTTTGCATTGTAATCATACTAATCGTCCTCATGAACGGTGTTGAGAAAAATACTGTTATCCTTCAGCTGCTTTACATATATCCACTTATAACTTTGGTTTGCCTTCATCTACTTCTAGTTTTGCTACCATCCCTCAAGATGAGTATACTTGGCTGCTTCAATGGACATATGCCTCTCCCTAAATTTCCTAGGTCATCTCTTTTTAAGGCTCTATTATTACCTTATCGATACATTCTTAGCTTTAATTTCAGGAACATATTCCCTCATGAAAGATAATCAGTATTTATTTTTTTTATTGCACTTGTCTCCATTGCCACTTGTTATCGGATGGTTCCCCATTTTGTTTTCAAAAAATTCATTGTCCACACTTCTTAAAATCTTATTATCTCAATCACTAATGAGTATTCTTTTTCTCTCTCTTACTTTGCAAATATTTGGTTGTGTTTACTTTGTTCATATTTTTCACCCACATGATAGACTCTTGCACTATGCTAGTCATTATATATTTCTTAGGTTCTCTCAAACCAAAAAAGAATATAAGATGCTATGATTTCTTTATCAAATGTCTGTGCATTTCAATTGATGTCACTTTTGATGAGAATTTCAATTTTTTTCCTACAATTATTTCCGAATCTTAACCATTTGTATCTCTTAGTTGTGCTGCTTCGCTTTCTTTCTTTTTCTCTCCTCCTCAGTGTACTCTAAGAAACTCCAATCATCTTCACTTACAACACCTATCATCTTGTATGCTTCTACTAAGGACATCCCATAGACTATGCTTTTAGATTTGCACCTTGGCGTGTTATGATGAGATAAACAACAAGTTAGTTTCCATCCTATTCACTCTTATGAATATCATCCTAAATTTTGAGCACTCTTGTAAGTCTTGTTTGTTATATTCATTCTTGCTCACAAACAAGTTTTCAGACTATCCATAAGTCTACTTATATGAATTCTAAACGTGATAGGAAGGAAGGATCCATTTGTATCCATGGGTGAGTTATCAAATTCTTTTATAGTCTTGTTCAATTTCTATTTGAGTTTTTTTTTGTCTGAAGCCATATTCTTAAGTCAATTGCATGTTTCATTTATACTCGTTGATAAATTATTGAGTTCTCTGTTGTTTATTTTTGTATTCAATTTTTTGTTAAGTTTTAGTTCTAGCAGTTCATTTGATGCGACATGCATTGCGCTTGAAGTGCTCATCTTCATACAATTTTATAAATTATTACTTTCTTTTCTTTTTCGTCATGTTATTGAGTTTAGGTATTCATTTTAGTTTTGCCTTTATACGAGTTCATCACTAAAAATTTTGGAAGCCTCCTAGTATCTTTTTTTTGTAGGAGATATTTTTGGGAGGATTGGGCTTGCCACCTTGCTAAGAAGGCGGGCTTTGGTGGTGTAAACACAATAGTCTAGTATTCTCTCCCCACCATGTTAAAAAAGATGTGTATAAGTTGTTTGCACGAACATTTACATAAATTTCTAGTCATCTCAAGAAAGACATACATATACTTATATGAATTTGCTTATTGCATTAATAAAAAGGTGCTTATTGAGCTTATCTACTAGGTTGCTCATACTTGTCAATGGTGAATGATGCACCATAGCGCATGGTGCGGCGTGCACCATTTTAAATATGATGTAAAATATTAAAAAAATTCAGATAAACATGAAAGAATATTAAATTAAAATATCAAATGACATAATAGTAAAAATAATAGAAATAATACTTAAATTTAAGTGTTTAATATCTCAATTACTTAAAATTCAAAATGTTATGATTTTCATTAGAAGTGTTATATTTTCATAAGCAATTAAACTTGTTATCCAAAGAATTATTATCGTTGTCATAAGTCAAACAATCCTTATTTTTTTGTCAATATCATTTTAATCTAATAAAGCATGGACATATGTATGTATGCATTGTGTCATATATATATAATTATATTTTAAGAGAAAAGGGTACAGATAAGTTGTATGAGTGGACCCAAATAGACACTCAACCTATACGATACAACACACAAAAAGAAAAAAAAAGAAAATTAAAAACCAAAAGAAAATGGTACATAAAAGATCAACCAGGTCGACCCACTTTAGTTCTGCCCCTGCCTCTAGTTCTCGGAAAGGAACCAACTAACAAATTGGTGAGGTGTGTGTCATTGCCCGAAGTAATTAGAGTATCATCCATTAGATTTCTTAGCTCAAGTAGATCTCCATTCTTCTTCCTCCTCCTGGAAGTGTGGACCTGTCATTCCTCATTCGAAGATTATTGCTCATTCGGATGAGGTGGCAGTGCTGCAGTAGAAAGATTGCCAACAGTTGTGCAAACAGGTGTATGTCAGGTAAGAGTTGTCGCCTCTACCACCGATACTTTCTGGAGAGCTGCAAGGTTCTCCTGATTCTCAGTCCGTGTAAGTAGGAGTCCATTCTTATTTTCAATAGGGTTTAAAAGTGTAGGTTGCTCATGTTGACCTCATTTTTGAGGTCATTACTCTTTAGGATCCTAGGATCTAGCTCTACGAATTCCTATTGACTATCTTAGAAAACTAGAATTGGAACCCACCCTTTTAGAAATTCCAGTTTTTAGAAATTCCAGTCACTTCCTATTTTCCTTTGATGTCTATCATTTATGGTCTCAAAACCATCGTCTTATGGACGAGCGGTTAAGGGCTATTGTGTGGAGACTCAGAGAGAAGTTCCTAATAGGATTTCAAGCACTAGGAAAATCACTTCATGATTTTATTGTCACATACACACACAAAACGCAAAAAATTCACTAATTTACACAAGATCAAACTTAAATTAAGCCTAAGGATGAGTGAAAATGCAAACTTTCTCCGGACGACTTCCGATGATGAAATGGACTGTTCCAATGCGTCCGAGACATCAATTTTAGCCAGGAAAGACACCCATATTGTCATAATATCCGACACGAGAAAATGACACGCAAATCGATGAATTCATCAAAACGATCTCAGAAGGTGAAACGGACCGCGCCAGCGCTTCCAGAATGTCAGAATTACTTAAAAATGATACCAATTTTATTATGTTTCGACGTAAGAATGAAAGACGCAAATCAAATTTTACATTTCAAAATTTTTGATATTTTTATAATTATATCATTAATTATAATCTAATTAAATACTAAACTCTATTTAGGTTTTCACCCGCATGCTTAAACCCTAGTTCGAGCCATCTCAGGGCTCGATCCCGCGGCTCATCTCCCTCTTGTCATGTGCCCTAGTTCCACGGTGGATCCACGCGTCTCCCGTCTTCTTCCCCGTCTCTTTTCCTTTGCGCGACACGGTAACCGTTCGGCTCTCCAATTAGAAGAGACGAGCTGGCCGACGCTCCTTCTACTCGAGGCTTTACGCTCACCTCCTTTATGGCGATGCTTCCTTCCTTTCCCTCGATTTGTTGGTTAGGATGGCAAAAGTGGCGCTCTCTTTTCTATTCCCTGCCTATTGACTTTCTAGTGGTGTGTTTTTCTTGTGGGGGGTGCTGTTGAAGTGGCTGCATTCTTTTCT